TACAATTTACAACGATAATTAAATAGCAAGCCTTTGCGAGCTATAAGGCATAAGTCAAATTTAGATTTCTAGTCCAAATTTTTTAAATATATTTATGGATTGTCTAATTCTTGGGTTTTGACGAAATAATAAATCTGAACCTAACTTGTTCAATAGGGTAGATCTAGTTTTTTTTTATTCTGAAAATATTTTATATTTTTTTTTATTTTACTCCATCAATTCGGGTCGCGAAACGCAATTTTAATTATGAATATTTATTGTAAACCTAGCAAATAGTTCAATATTAACATCGAAATATTTTACCTTTTAAAATTCTACCAATACTTTTTGATTTTAATTTTATTAAAAAAATGGTGTCTTCTAACTTCTATAATTTGAGCGCTATTTAATAGTAAGTACATGAAATTTTTTTTTATATATATCTAAATTTTATCAATTTTGTAATGAATTTTATTTATAGAAACTAGACGCCATATAACATAAATGTCCTTTATTTTGAGTAATTATAAAAATTAATTTCTTATATTTAAATAAATTTAGACCGGGCCGGGTTTGAAATACTATGCCCTACGCAGGTCACTATTAATGATATAATATTAAAAATCTTTTGAAATAATTAATTATTAGAAATTTATTTATGAAAATAAAATTTTGATGAAATTTTCAAAGGATTTTATCATGATAGAATATTAATTTTTATTGTTCTTCATGGCGATTTGCAGGTTTATCCGAGTAAGCCAGTTTTTTTTCCCTCTGATTTTATATGTAAATTAAATTTTATAGCAAAGTTTAAACACTCTTCTATAATTTGGGAAAGTTATGAGTATTTATATCTACATATTATTTCAATCATGATTTGTTAATTTATATGGGGCTTGATAAACCATAAACGTCTCAAAAAACGTGAGAAATGCTTAGAGTGTGAGAAAACGTGGGTAAATAAAAAATTAGGTATGAAATCATGAGAATCACAGCTAAATCGTGACATCTGGCAACCCTGTGTATATTACAAACTAATATATAAAATTAAAAAAAAATTTTATTTTTAAATTTTTCAATGTTGTATTGTAATTGTAACCCAAAATTTTAAAATTTAATACTAATTTTTTTTTCTTGTGGAGCTAAATACTATAAAAGATGCACATTGAAAATTTAATATCATCAAGTTCTGGAAATATAACATTTTATGTAGATTGTGAGTCAGGTTATGATTAGAGATAAAAATTTAATTTATTTGCATTTAGAGAAAATAGAACTGTTAGTTTCACACATACCAAAAAAGTATAAGAATGGTCTCAGAAAAAATTTTTTATTTCAGCAACTTTAGTAAAATTTGCATAACTTTTTTAGAAGTAACTATTAATCTAAGATTTCGTATTTATTATTTCCAATAATATTTTAATATATATTAAAAATTGTAGATCTCAAATTTTAATATGTTATGAGATATAGCTAATCAAAATTTGGGATAAAATAGACCCCACCTTTGTAGTTGAGGGATATTTTTTTACCTTTGAAGTGAAGGATCAAAAAGTATGGGTAGAATTTTAAAAGGTGAAATATTTCGATGTTAATATTGAACTATTTGCTATGTTTACAATAAATATTCATAATTAAAACTGTCTTTCGCGACTCGAATTGATGGAGTAAAATAAAAAAAATATAAAATATTTTCAGAATAAAAAAAAAACTAGATCTACCCTATTGAACAAGTTAGGTCAGGTTTATTATTTCGTCAAAACCAAGAATTTGACAATCCATAAATATATTTAAAAAATCTGGACTCGTAATCTGAATTTGACCTATGCCTTATAGCCGCAAAGGCTTGCTATTTAATGTCGTTGTAAATTGTAAAAGCACGACTTTTACTTAAATAGCGCTCAAATTATAGAAGTTAGAGGGCACCACTTTTTAATTTTATAATCTAAAGTCATAAAAGATTTAAGAAACATGCTGAGTCAATATTTTATATTTAAAAAAAATTAGATTGGGGACGGTTATTTTAAAATCTGAAATTTTGATTTAACATATTAACAATTACCAATTTGCTTTAAAAAATTCAAAAAAGTTCAAAAATAACGATTATAACAATTGTCACTTTCCTGTAGTAATCTTCACTGAAATTTTAATTTAACATGTTAACAATAACTATTTTTATCCATTTGCCTTTAAAAAATTCAAAAAAGTTAAAAATTAACGATTATGACAATTGTCACTTTCCTGTGATACATCTTCACTGAAATTTTAATTTAACATGTTAACAATAACTATTTTTATCCATTTGCCTTAAAAAAATTCAAAAAAGTTCAAAATTAACGATTATGACAATTGTCACTTTCCTGTGATACATCTTCACTGAAATTTTGATTTAACATGTTAACAATAATTATTTTTACCCATTTCTTTAAAAAAAAACCAAAAAAGTTCAAAAATAACGATTATGACAATTGTCACTTTCCTGTAGTACATCTTCACTGAAATTTTAATTTAACATGTTAACAATATCTATTTTTATCCATTAGCTTTAAAAATTTCAAAAAAGTTCAAAAATAACGATTATGACAATTGTCACTTTCCTGAGATACATCTTCACTGAAATTTTAATTTAACATGTTAACAATAACTATTTTTATCCATTTGCCTTAAAAAAATTCAAAAAAGTTCAATAATAACGATTATGAAAATTGACACTTTCCAGTAGTACATCTTCACTGAAATTTTACAGGTTAACAATATCTATTTTTACCCATTTGCCTTAAAAAAATTCAAAAAAGTTTAAAAATAACGATTATGACAATTGTCACTTTCTTGTGATACATCTCCACTGTAATTTTAATTTAACATGTTAACAATATCTAAGCTTTAAAAAAAATTTCAAAAATTACAATTGTCACTTTTCTATGATATATCTTCATTGAAATTTTATTTTTACATCTTAATAATTAAAATTATAACCTATTTACGACACAATAAATCAAATAAGTTAAAAATAACGATTATTACAATTGTCACTTTTTTGTGTTACTTACATTACATCTTCATTGAAATTTTAATAAAATATTTTTTTAATATAAATTTATTTTACCTATATATGTCAAAAAAAGTTAAAAAAAATAACGATTATGAAAATTGTCTATACATCTTTATTAAATCATGCTTACTAACCCATTTACTTCTAAAAATAATATCAAAAAACAAATAATTTATGAAGATCGTTGATCTAAAATATTTTTAAATAAAAGATCTTTAAAGATCTAGATCCTTGAAGATCGTTTCAAAATTTTTCAAAAATATAAGATCTTCAAATAAAAGATCTTCAAAAATCTACTCAAAATTTTTTAAAAATAAAAGATCTTCAAATTTTACGATCTTCAAAGGTCTTGCATCTCGCTTAAAAATCTTCAAAGAAGATCTTTTCTACAACTCTTTTTCCAAAAAAAAATGTAGGAGGATGTAATTTTAAGAATATCCAATATTCGTTCAGAAATAGGGTAAATGATAAATATACATTATTTTTACATTTGGGCATAGCATAATGATTGAATTAAAGGGTTCATAATTTAATTATATAGATATTTTCAATTTAAATTATGAATTAAAAAACTTGTGTTTACAATAAAAATCAAATTTTTTTTGCAATATAGGTTTATTTAGGAAAACAAAAGTTTATCAGAAAAAAACATATGTTTTTGCAAAAATATTAGTTGGGTAAGTCTAAAATTTCATATCTAATCATGCTTTTAAATATTTATTTTGTTGAAAAATATTAAGCAACCCATATTTTTTGACACATCTTATTTTATTAGTTAGTAAGAGATATCTCATAATTTATAAAAAATTTTACAAGAACAGAGCAGCATATATTATTAATAAATAGTTTCAGAGGCCTAGCCAGAAATTTGCTAAGGAAGAAACTAGGTGAGTTTTTTTTCCTATAAATTTTATAGAAGTTTATTAGGTTAGGACTCTTAATAAACGAAATTTTAGCCCTGTCCAAGCCCTCCCATTGGGTTGGCGTAGGGGAGGCTTAAATATTTTAAACATTAAGGGTGGGGAGGGGGCGCTTGAAAAGTTTTTCAAAACTATTTTAAATACTTGACTAGATGAGCAGAACCGATTTCTGTTCATTAAATATTAAATTTTTATTTTATACTATTACATATTTTAGATAAATAAAGATCTAAAATAACTATTAAAATAATTTGTAGTCATTGGGCTGATGGGTTAAAAATATTTAGATAAATGGACTTTCGGGCAGGTAAGTTAATTTAAAAACCCTATTAAAATTATTTAAAAACAAAAAGAGGCCTAAACCCTGACCATTTCAGACCTGTACCAGCAAGCAGCTGTCTCGAGAGGGCACAAGGGCTCGATCTCTCTGAAACATTTGAAGAGCTCCTCAAAATTTTGGAATCTTTTTCAAATATTATTGGTAATGTTAGCCAAAATAAAATAATTTAGAATATGTTAGCTAAAAAATAAAATAATTTTGAAAATAATCTAAATTTTTTATAAGCTCCCTTAGATTGAAAAGGCTAGTGAGGCCCCTGAGACAAAGCCTTTCCATAACCCATAAATTCGATTACATCACTTTTGTTTGAAGCCTCTTTCCTAAAGAACTAACCTAACTTTTTGTAAACCTTTTTACATATTTTATATATTTTTTTATATAATAAATTTAATAAACATTTATATTGTTTTTATACTATTAATACTTGTTTGATTCGAATTAATAAAAAAATATATAATAAAATTTAGTTAAATGTAAAATAAATATAGTCTATACGGTTTATGTTCGTTTTTATATAATATTGTTTTATTTTATTTTATATTTGATATGTTAATTTTAATATTAATTATATTTCTATATATATTTTTAATTTTATTTAAAATTGCTTAATATATTAGATCTAAAAAAATAAAATTAAATTAATAAAAGGGTTCAATTATACCTCTGGTTTTCTATTTTAAAATTTGACTATTGATAAATGCTTTAAAATATGTGGGAGCAGAACTGCGTTTATACCCTAAAACTGCATCCCCAGATAGGAGCCTAAGCCAATATTTACATCGCTCTTTAAATATGATTTCAGCTGGTAAATATTTATCATCATCCATTCATTAATTCAAAATGCAAAAAAATCAAAAATCTTTTGACATTAATTTAATCATAAATGATGCTAGAATATGGGCCCTAGGACATGGTATATTAGTTATTAGTGACTTTGATATATATATTATTGTTTTATAAAATCATGAATTTAAAGCTCATCAGGGCTTTGCTGATATATAAATTTTTTATTAATCAAATCATACTTTCTGATTTTTACACAAAACTGGTCTAATTGATTGAATGTTTAAATTTATTTATTGTTTATCTTGGAACATTAAATCTATATTTTCTATGTAGACAAATTTAAGAAACATTTTGAAACTTTTTTCTCATGGCTCAAGCTATATTTGGTGTATAAGCCTGTGTCATATTAAAATTTTGATTGGGGATGGTACTTGAATTTTTAAAAAAAATTTTAAATGTATTTTCATAATAACTGATCTAATATTATAATTATTGTTTACATAATAGCAGAGGAGTAATATAAATATTAACATCATAAATTAATGATGAAGATTGAATATAATTCCAAGAAAAAAATGTATAATAGAAAAATTAACAGAAGGGGAATTAGATAAAAAGGTTTTAAAAACAATATTTTTTATGATTTTATATATATAATTTGATAATAAATTTATAAAAAGGATCCAATATTAATTTATTTGAAATGCTTAAAAAATGAAATTCTTGTTAAAGAAAGAAGCTAAAAAGATGATGTTATTCTTATTTTAAACCTCATATTTTTTGCTAAAATAATAATACTTTCCTAACCTTAAGATTTTACCAAGAGAAGGGAAAAAGGTTTGGCTATAAGCAAAATTTTAAAAGACATTATTTTCTGGCTAGGATCAAATTGGTGAAAAAATTATTGACCTTTACCTCACTAATTAAAAAAAATAAGGAGAAATTGATAAATGTTTTATGATTGAATATGACACTTAATATTTTAAAATCCTTTTCATGTTGAAATTAACAAATAAAATGGAGTATCACATTCTTAGCTGCTCTTCCTTTTGGAATATTTAAATTTATTAAACATTTAAATTTCATAGGACATTATATGTTAGAAATCTTCCTTTCTTTCGAATGTGCCAGGCCCATTCAAAAGTCTGGCCTGCAAACAGGCTGGGAAAATTAGAAAAAATTAATAAGCCAGGCAATTTGTACAAAAAAATTTTTTAGGATTGGCCAGGCTTATAATTTATGCATAAAAATTAAATTGGGCCATGCTGATTTTTTGTAAAATTATAATAGGCCACCCTGAATATTAAAATTTTGATATATTTCTTTTTTGAATTTAGGCTAATATTTTGATTATGATTAATACAATTTGAAAGTAAATTACAATATGCTTATTTCTTGTATTTTAAGGGCTATTTTTGATATGATCCAATTTTATTTACAAATGCACATTAACAGATATCAAACATTATTGATTTATAATGTTGTTTTTAGAAAGAAATAGATAGCCATCGAGGAGTGATGCAATATAAAAGCCAGTGATCTGCATTGGGCCAAATTTTTTAAGCCCATCTTGGCCTATTTTAAAATAATTTACCCAACTTATCCTGAATGAATTTTTTTTTAATTTGCCTCAAAGAGCCTAACCCTAAATAAAAATAAACATTATTTGTCTGCCCAGCCTACTAGGAATTTATTTATATATATAGAAAATTTAATATATTTTTTTTAAATTTTAAAAAATAATGTTCTGCTATAAAAAATATTGGTGCCTTGATTCATGCAAGAATTTTAAAATTATATCAATATATTTTATAAAATTATATGATATCATATTTAAAAATTTATGCCCAACCATGCCTTTTTTTTAAAACAATATTAGGCCCAACAGCCCCAGCTAAAATTATTTTATAAAAATAGTGGTACGGGCTCTGTCGGGATTCGAAGATCACAAAAAAAAGCCCAATTGACATTCAGGAAAGAATTGTTTTAGGTATTAAATCAAAATAAGTTTAACAAGCTAGGGCAGATATTTTGTAAAATTTAAATGGGTAGGGCCAGACTTTTCATAATATTTTAATGAGCAGCGACAGGCAAATTTGAAAAATGTTATAACAAGCCAGGCTTGACAAAAAATATTCCGGATGGGCTAGGTCAGGTAACTTATAGCGCTTCAAGCACTGCGTTGCAAGCCAAATGGGTAAAATTACCGTTTGGCGTTAACAACCATATTGAAAAAAGCAAATAGGTTTGCTTTTTCAATACTTTTTTTTTATTCTTCGCTTTATAATATTATGTAAAAATGTAATATAAATAACTTACTTATATCCTAAAAAAATGAATATTTAGAAATTAAAGAAAATAAGAAGGCAGACGATAATATAATTTTCAAAGGCAAATCTCTTTTTATTAGAACTTATTTAAAAATTGAATCGACGATATTAATAAAACGGCAACCTCGATTTAAACAAGGGACGCGTCACATTTTTTTAATTAAAAAATTACGGCGAAACGTAAACGCTCAATTTGTGTGCACTTTTATGTATAACAATAAAAAATATATAATTATATATACAAATCTTAAAATAGCACAAAACATGGAATGATGCAGGTTATTTTATTTTGAAGGTAAACATCTCTCCCCCAAATTCAATATTTAATATTTGATGCAACCCCCCCCCCCCCCCCCCCCCCAGAATTATTTAGAGAAACTTTTGATAAAAAATAAAATATTTTATACATTATTAAATAATTTTTAATTCGGAAATTTCAATTTATAAAAAAAAAACGAAAAAAAAAATATAGGTATAATGAAAAGAGTAGGCAAAAATGGTTTAAACGACTTTAACGTTGCTCATTTACCTTTCACATTACTTCCGACTCCTTTCCCAATAGCTAGTTATGAGAAGGCCTTGGCTCTGCAATCTACCATAAATAAATTGTACTACAAAATAGCTACAAATTCGATATTTCTTCATTTCATTTATGACAAGTTAAGTGTAAAATATTACTTGTTTTTTTATTATATAGTAAGTTTTTATAAACGCTTATAATTTGAAACCATGAAGATATTTAGCATTTTTTTCAACTTCAAGTCATTTTTTTGAGCGTGCTTTAAAATCTAATGTTTACCAGGAATGTGTGCCGTCATGTTTTGGGAATACCTATACCCTAATGAATTTCGGGCAAATTTTTCCACGAACTTTTAAACTTAATACAATTTATATTAAAATTTTTCCATATACGTTTTTATATATATATAAATTGTAAATGACTCAAAGGTTAACAGCAAGAATTGTCTACAATATTGAACATGATAGGTATTCCAAACATGATTCAGAATAAATTTTCGGTAAAATCCTATTTTTAAATTTTTTAAAAAATAAACGCGCTCAAAAAATGAGATAAAATTGTAAAAATAACATATTGAGGCTCAACACGTATATATATGTACATATTCTTTTAAAACCTTAATATTTATTTATTAGAATTGCTGACAAAGATCCTTTTATAGATAAATTATGGAAAATATTTTTGACTGTTACGGAAGAAGGCTTTGCTCAAGTATATTAAATACGATTTTCTTTCTTTTCTTTTTCTTTTCTTTTCTTTACTTTTCTTTTCTTTTCTTTTCTTTTCTTTTCTTTTCTTTTCTTTTCTTTTCTTTTCTTTTCTTTTCTTTTCTTTTCTTTTCTTTTCTTTTCTTTTCTTTTCTTTTCTTTTCTTTTCTTTTCTTTTCTTTTCTTTTCTTTTCTTTTCTTTTCTTTTCTTTTCTTTTCTTTTCTTTTCTTTTCTTTTCTTTTCTTTTCTTTTCTTTTCTTTTCTTTTCTTTTCTTTTCTTTTCTTTTCTTTTCTTTTCTTTTCTTTTCTTTCATTGCCTAGTATTTTGAATAAGGGGGCCCTTAAAAGTAACCTTCTAATGTTTCTCTTTTTAAAAGGATCTCCAATTAGGATTAATTCGGACAGACTATTTGCTACACGATGACACCACCCCCTTTGATGTTGAGGATAAGGTTCGGGATCGTACCCTGGGCGATATACTGAACGCTTACAATCACGTGATGGGGACACCTACAAAAAAGAAACCTAAGTTGAAGCAGGTCGAGGTCAATTGTATAGCGGCCAGCTTTGCGGGTATATCGTCGCGCATAACGGAAATGCATAGGTTTTGTCGAACATAAAATTCCACATATTACAGAGGGTCAACTTGCGTCTCTTATTAATCGCATCTTTTTTAGTCTAGTTGAAGTTTGCAAATTAAAACTATGAAATTGATAAAATGCGAGTTAGCCCCCCCCCCCCCAGCTCAATTCTTTTAGCGGAACCTAGAGCGGCTGAGTACTTATTTTTTTGGCCCCGAGTTTGACTCGGCTTAAAATTTTAAATAGTTGCATTTATTTTTTATTTTTCTCCCCAGCTAGATAAGATATTATGTTTTATTAAATAGGCACACTTTGCAAAGGCTCGGCTTTGAGGGAGAATTCCTAACCAATCAAGTTTGCCTTGTTATTTTTCAAATTATGCTCAATAAATATAGTATTGTAGTATAATATGATTATTCATTAGTTATCACTTTTAAAAAAAAATTTTTTAAGATAACCCCCGACAAGAATTTAAATTATGATGCTAAAAACTGAAATCAAATAAGGGTTTTTATAACAAAATTGAAAAAAATACCGTTTATTTTTTAACCAATTAAAAATCGGGACCGAAATTAAAAATGGAGGATCGGACGGAAGTCTGTTTTTTTAAATCCTTCCGCTATTTAGTCAATCAGGTCTGGTCTGGACTCTTTATCTTTGCTTGATTTGCATATCGATGATTGAAAGAAAACGCGAGAATTCTTTATAATCTCATTCTCCCTCAGTTAAATTGATACTCCATTTAAATATCGCTTCAACTCACTTTTACGATGTGAGCACTGAAAATGAGCATTGCAACCCCCACTCCTTTTCTCCTCTCTGCTTACCCTTTTTTTCTTCTCTTTAACATATTATATAGAAAACTTGAAAATAAATCGTTCTTTTCGATAGATATTTATTATTGGACCTATTTTTTCGGGTTCGGTCTAAGGAAACTCGAACATTTTTCTGCAATATCTATTATAGGTGGGGGGGGGGAATCCTATTAAAAACTATTAATTTTTTTGATTTTTATGTATTGTACGCTTTTATTTTTCCATTTATAATTTATGCTTAAATAAAAATTTATGTATATTTATGGTAGCAAGAAAATGAGGTTTTCATTTATTTTTATTTATTTTTTATTCTTTGTGAGATGCCGGAAAATAAAGCGTTTACAATTTTGGCCGAAGGTTTAATCCAAGCGTGGCAATCAGTCAATAATCCCTGGTATATATATATATTTTTTTAAATTATTATTTTATAAATTTGAGCGCAATTTTGAATGGCCTCGTTATTACGGTGCGCACGAATTGAGCGTTTCAAATGATGCGTTGCAAGCCCATGATGCATTTCAAATGGCCCTCCTGCAAATTGGTAAAATTAACCAACCATTTAATAAAAAAACGCGAATAGGTTCATTAGAATGGCCTCGTTATTGCGGTGCGCATAAATTGAGCGTTTCAAACGATGCGCTGCAAGCTCAAATAATGCATTTCAAATGGCCCTCGTTGTAAATTGGTAAAATTAAGCGTTTGGCGATAGCGATCATTTTAAAACGCTTTTTATTCTTAGCTTTGTAATATTATATAAAAATGTGATATAAATAACTTACTTATAATCCTAAAAAGGAATATTTTAGAAATTAAAAAAAAATTAAGAAGGCAGACGACAAATTTAAATTCCAAAAGAACTAATCCTTTTTCTTTTAGACGATATTAATTAAAATGGCAACCTCAAATTTAAACAAGGTGCGTTACGTTTACGGCAAAACGTAAACGCTCAATTTGTGTGCACTATTAATTATCTGATTTGACACTTTTAAAAAGTTTTATTTGTCTATAAAACATAATACAAATCTCATTAAATTTTAAAAAGATATTCTTATTTTATTTTTTTTAGAAACCCTCCTACCTCACATTAATTAAAAGAAATAATTTATATTTTTAAAAAGATGATTCATCTATCCTCAGAAAAAAATGGGAAGGAGATCTTCTGATTTTTTTTTATCGTTATCATATTTCATTTTAATTTATTTAAATTTATTTTAAATTTACCTTTTTTTTTATAAAAAAATTTCATAAATTAATTCTTAAACGATAAATCAATTTTTTTTTTAAAAAAAGGATGATAATAATTCACGAATCATATCTTTGTCTTTTTTCCCCCTCATTATATAATACATAATGATAACAGAGTTGTTAAAGGATCTAGTAGATCCTATATCTAGATATAAAAATGTGGTATCTGTATCTAGATAGATTTTTGATAAAAATATCTATATCTAGATATTATTTTAGAAGATGTATCTGTATCTAGATCCATTTAAAAAGTATCTTTTAACAACTCTGAATAATAATGTATTAGGTAGCGTTGTTAAACCCGCTCGATTTGAGGCCGAATTTTAAAAACGACTAATTCAATATTTTATCCAGAATAATATTGCGCGAGCCACCTGAAGATTTTGCTCATAGATGTCAGTCACAAAGGTTTTAGACATCAATTAGCGAAATCTCGAGGCTTAGGCCGCATTCAGGGATCCGATCCGACACGATTTAACAGCTGATCGATTTTTAACATCTGTTTATGAGATCAATTTTTTTTTAAAATAACATTAATTTTAATCTTTAATTCTATACATGATAATAAACCTAAGAAATATTGGTTTTTAATAAAGAAAAATAGATACTCGTTAACCGATTTAAATATCGATCAGCCGTTAAATCGTGTCGGATCGGATACCACTGGGAATGCGGCCTTAGGCAATATTTTTCTAGCTAAAATATTGAGTTAGACGTTTTTAATAACCGGCTCAAAACGAGCCGTTTAACAACAACTGGTATTAGGTATCAGCAGGGTTTGACAAATTTTTCAAAAAGTACAAATACATCTTTGAACAAATATATTTAAAATATGAATTACTAAATACCAGAGTTGTTAAAGGATCTAGATACAAGTATCTAGATCCTGTATCTAGATATAAAAATGTGGTATCTGTATTTGTATCTAGATAGATTTTTGATTAAAATATCTATATCTAGATATAGTTTTAGACGTTGTATCTGTATCTAGATCCATTTAAAAACTATCTTTTAACAACTCTGCTTAATACCCACAAAAAAATTATTTCCCCAAAAAATGGTATTTAAATCAGAGACCTGCAGGCCCGGCCCTAAACCCGGCCCGGGTAACCGGGCTTATATATACCCGGGCCGGGCCTGAAAATTTTTTTTACAAAAAACCCTAGGCCGAAAAATTTTTTTTTTTAAAATAAGTTGTTTAATGTTACATAAATCAAAAGAACTATGCTTGCTTAATTCTGACATTTGTATAAAATAAAAACTTTAACTAGGAAATTAAAGGAAAAAGTGTCCCCATAAAGTTGTAATAATGTACATAAAATGATATATTAACAACATTAAGTAATTTTAAAATCATCTTCCTTGAATAATGGAAAAAATTTTTTTTATAGTATTATTTATATTAAATTGATATATCCATTCATATTTAATTTATTATGCCAAGTCTTCCTTACTGCGTAACTTTCGAACTTGATTTAATAAAATAAATTGGCAAGTAAATTAGAAGGAAAAAAATAGTTACATTTAGCATATATCTTCTTCTTCTCCGTTAGATTAGGCATTCCCTCTGATTTAATCATTAGGAAATTTTGTAGCAAGGATTTTACAATCGCAAACGTCCTTCCTGGCATCAACCCCCTTTAGGTGGTTTCTACACCCCGTCGAGGAGACGGTGGTCCTATTCTAGACCCAGACCACAGGGAACCTTTTAGACCTCCATTAGCCACCAAAAGACGTTGCCACTCCCCGAAGCTGTAGATAAGAATTTTTGGGGGACATTATCAACCGGATGAGAGTGGGAATATTAATTTTTTTTTTGTTTAACTCGGGTTAAAAATTTGATATTTTCAAAAAAAAATTTTGTACCCTTTTTTTAAACATTTTATATTCTCATTTATACGTACATATTTTTTTAATTCATTTTTTTATATATCATTAGATTTTTTATATGTATATTTTTAATTATAATTCGTAAATGAAAAATTTGTGAAAATTTAGGTCGCTATTGCATCACAAATATCTATGTGGTCTAATACTTTCCATAAGTTTATATTCATCCATTATATCATTAAATATTTACGAATCTTAAAAATTTTAAAACTTCACGAAATGGAAAAAATGATATAAGCCAAATTTTTTATTTTCCATTAAAAATGGCTTATATTATTTTTTTCGCTAAATTTGCGCAAATTGCGCGATTAAATTTTTTGATACTTTGGACACGACTATATGATAGACAAAAAAAAATTATAAAAATCGAAAAAAAATTATTTGTATTCTTATGAAAATTAAAAAAATGTATCGTTTTGGAAATACTAAATACTTTTCCTAAAATATTCTTCTTCTTCTCCGTTTTATGGCAATTTCCAGGTTTACCCGGGTAGGCCATTTCTAAAATATTCCAGTAAAAAAAAATGCAAATATAAATACCAAAAAAAAGTATCTGTATTTAGTACTTTAAATACAAAATATTCGCGTTATTGCCCAACCCTGGCTCATCGGCTATTATATCTAGACTCAAAATTACTTTTTAGAGTATAGGTTCACGTTTACTTATTTTATAGTAATATGATTAATAAAATAAACATTGGGAAAAAAATTTCTGTAACGAAGGAGGAAAGAGTAAAAAACGAAGGAAACTATATAATAAGAATGTAATAATTATATGATTTATATCCTATATATTAGTGATCTGCATTGGGCCTAATTTTTCAAAACCCGGCCCGGCCCGAAATTTTTTATAAAAATAATTTACCCGTCCGACCGACCCGGCCCGATATTTCTTAAAAAGTATTAGGCCCGACCCGGCCCGATCCCGTAAAAAAAAAATTATGCCCGGGTACCGGCAGGGCCTACATTTGCAGATCTCTACTATATACATTAATACCCCGAATTTCATATGATCATCTAAATCTTTATTACTTCCAATATAATGATTTCATATATATATTAATACTCCAATCACCTGATTGGAAAACAAAGGGAAAAAAAACTCGAAACATTTTCTTCTCGAAGAATGTATTGAAAAACGTCCAATAAATGTCGATTATTAAATAGACAGATATACAACAATTATATATATATATAATTTTTTTTAGGGCCTTGATATTATTCGTAGTCGAAGATGTTATTACCATAAACGAATTCGACCAACGATTCCTGGAATGGGAAATAACCCGACTCGAGCCTAAAGTATCCTTTTTGAGGCTTTCATTCTCCGAGTTGAAGAAATACGGAAATCTAGACGAAAAGACCAGGGTCTTCACCGTGTAAATTGTATTATTACGTTTAATATTTTTGCATAAATACTATATTATAATATATATGTATATATATATGTGTTAGGCGGCAATCTTGCAATATTTATGGGGGATTTTATATAATCAAATTTCTATATTTATTCAAATATTTGAACAACGATCGGCTCATATTATATTGTGCTGAGATTACCAGAGCTTTTTATCGCTTAAATTATTTTTGAATCCTGTAAAATTTGTAGTAAAAATTGGGTGAATAATGGCAGGCTAGCGCGTTTCTCGAATTTTTTTAAAAAGATCTATGGATGTCTAAAATGATGTTTTGCAAGTATACATCATAAGTTTGGCAGCTAATTATTCTATTTGAAGCTTGCAGCAGATCTTCATTTTAATGTCTTAGGAATCTAGCCAAATCGCCAACTACTTCTTAAATAACTTTAATCTACACCTTCTATTGCTGTTGTGCAGGTTCATGAAAACATCTGATAGATCTAATTCGAAGACTTCTATTTAAATGCCCAAAATAAGTGAGATAAATAGATGGAACATTCTAATAATTGAGCCACATTTACCAAGCAAGTTTTCTGGTATAAAAAAAAGGATGTCCATTTATATTTTCTGTTCGCTATATAGAAGAACAGTTTTATTTTTATATTCCTATTTACGGCGCCTAGAAATTCATAAAGTTAATTGACTTCTCGCAACTCCCTCTACAAATACTGCAGATAGAAATTCTGAAATCCCAACCTCATAGAGTTTTCCATGCTAAGCTTTATCATTATTTTTCTATTATTATTATGTATTAAATAATAATAAATTATATATATATGTATTATTATTAAAATTATCACGAAATATTAGCCGAGACCAGCCGTTGGGTGTTGTTTATTACAGGACAGGATACAATCCTAATGACTACAAGAATGAAGAGGTTAATAAAATCTCCATTGGAAACCTAATTTATATCAGAGACCTGCAGGCCCGCCTCTTTAGCGCAGGCCGGATCGAGCCTAAGATTATAAACCCGGGCCTAACCGGGCCGTAAATTTTTTTTAAAAAAATTTATACATCATGAATTATTATATTCGTCAATTAGATATGGTTATAATGATTACATAATTCACTTCCATTTTTATAAATATCAGTTTTTTTTTTTTTATAAATGCAATTAATATGGTATATTTTCTCAAAATATTATATTTACAAACAAATTTTTTTTATAGTATCAATTTGTAATATACTAAATATCTTGTTTAGAATTTTTTAAAAAAAAAAGAAGATAAAATATGTAATATGCTTGCTTATTAAATGATAATACCCGCCGAAAAATATGATAAAATACCCGAATAGGCGAATTTTTTGTACAGAGCGGTTCGATTATAATTTAAAAATTCCGAGCCGGGACGGGTTTAAAAAAAATCCGGGTCCGGGCTCTGCAATTGGTAACTCTGCAGGTCTATGATTTATATATAAATTTTCAGAAACACGATACTATTTTATTTGCCAATTATTTGTATCTGTCCTGGGGGGGGAGGGGAGAATCTACGTTTACCGATTAACTTTTAATTACCAAAGACCACCACCAAAATATTTCTATTTTTAGGATTGGCACACTAGGTATCTGCTGGAAAAATCTACCGCTATCAAATGCCCCAGCATTCAATTCCAGTTGGCGGGAACGAAAAAGGTTCAGGAGGTCATTAACGACCCCCAAATCTTGGGACAATTTTTCGCGGGAACCGGGGAAAAGGTCGAAATGGAATCGTTGATGGAAAGTTTCGTCAAGTTTTATCCAATCGATAAGGTTTTAACCACCCTTTTTTCCCCCGCGCCATTTTAAGATTTAAAAAAATTTGATAATAAAACCTCGATTTTTTCTTCTTCTTAAAGCCAACATTATTTTTATCTTAATAAAAACGAAGAATATATTTAACGATGATCGGAGTGAATGATTTAATTTTCTTTCTCTTCTCTTCTCTTCTCTTCTCTTCTCTTCTCTTCTCTTCTCTTCTCTTCTCTTCTCTTCTCTTCTCTTCTCTCTCTCTTCTCTTCTCTTCTCTTCTCTCCTCTTCTCTCCTCTCCTCTCCTCTCCTCTCCTCTCCTCTCCTCTCCTCTCCTCTCCTCTCCTCTCCTCTCCTCTCCTCTCCTCTCCTCTCCTCTCCTCTCCTCTCCTCTCCTCTCCTCTCCTCTCCTCTCCTCTCCTCTCCTCTCCTCTCCTCTCCTCTCCTCTCCTCTCCTCTCCTCTCCTCTCCTCTCCTCTCCTCTCCTCTCCTCTCCTCTCCTCTCCTCTCCTCTCCTCTCCTCTCCTCTCCTCTCCTCTCCTCTCCTCTCCTCTCCTCTCCTCTCCTCTCCTCTCCTCTCCTCTCCTCTCCTCTCCTCTCCTCTCCTCTCCTCTCCTCTCCTCTCCTCTCCTCTCCTCCTCTCCTCTCCTCTCCTCTCCTCTCCTCTCCTCTCCTCTCCTCTCCTCTCCTCTCCTCTTCTAATATGAAAATTATATGCTATTAAAAACTATTTTTAAAAAAAATTATAATAATTAAAAAATCTAAGTACCCTTTTATACTTTTTTTTGAGACAAAGCGATCACGATTTCTACACGTGATTATAAAATCAGGTGATTATTTATAAATTTGATTAAATAATAAACAAAATAATTTTTATATAAAAAAATAAATAATTTTAAATAATAATATGATAGGTATCGGGTTAATTTAAATAATGTTTTAAAAAAAGTCTATTTTTCATAATTATACCTTTTACTTACGCGGCAAGTTATTCACAAAGCGTTCTTAATTCCTTTAGGAGTAGAGGTTTTGCTTCGCTTAAAGAAACGGGATTTATAAGTTTGTTTTTTGAACCAAATGTAACTTTAGAAAATGGAATTAAAATCCATCTCTCCTTTTCCCATACGAACATCTAACACCTGTAACTATTAAAATCTGATAAATTAGTCTTGTTAAACTACCTAACTTTAGTTCAACTATAAAACAGCAATGGCCATGTTTTTAGCCTAAAATATTTTCTAAGCAATCTTCATGTTGAGGCTCGACTTAGAGGCTTAATTCAAATTTTTTTTAGGCTAAAAATCTCAACTAAGCCACAAGTTAAGGTAATTTAACTAAAGACTTTATTATTATGTTTTGTAAACCCATATATAAAAAAACACAATCGCGATCATTTACATAGCCCGATACTAGGAACGATAACGTGACCTACGCTACGAACCATTGCGACGACGTGGTTTTAAAACCGTTGAGGGAAGGCGGAGGTTTATTAAATTTAAATATTTTACGCCAGAATTTGGAATCTTTCGATTTTTAAAAATCGATTTATCCGAGGCGATTTTTTTTTTTAAATTTTCAAAAATATAATCTGATCTGTCTGGAAATGTATTCGAGTATGTGTAGCTTCTGAATATGTACCATATGAATTTCAGATGATTTTTCGCCGTGAATTTTATTTTTTAAATTAAGAATAGTTAATAGGTAGACTTTACATACTAATCTCAACTTCGCGGTCCGTCTATACCGATGACATATAATCATGTCTAAGGTTGCTGACGATTCGTTCATCCTAAACGTCTATCAATATAAATCAGCTGATGACATGCCAATTTAGTTTTATTTCCCCATTAGGATTTAATTTGCATTTTTTTTAAAAAAAAAAAAATATATAATAAACAAAAAAAAATGGCGTGTTAACAGTTGATTTGTGTTCAACATGCCTTCAAAACACTTATGAATGAATTTCTAGGTCTAGATTAAATGTTATATATATATTATTGATCTAGTTCTTAGTAAATGATTTAACATCGAAAGATTTTCTCACTACAGTAGTATCTTATTTTAAGGAGATTACATATAGACAACTCGCGGGTGGAAATTAAAGATTTCTGGTGATGGTGAGGGGGTGGGGGTATTAAAATATTGGGAAAATAATTTAGTAACAGATCGTTGGCTGTTGGAAATTTTTTTCCTTTAACCTGCATCAAGTGCCGTCCTGACAGAGTTAATAAATAATATCTGTTATATCCAACCCTTGATACGGGTCCGTAGATCTCAATTATTTATTTATAAATGTGACCACCGTTTCAACCGACCCCTTTTTCTATTTCGATAAAAATTTGTAACGAACGCTTGTATCTGCTCTGGCTACCAAAATTTTAGTTCGTTAGCCAATTGTATTATCTGAAATGATGAAGATGAGCGTTTAAAAATACTATGTTAAATAAAGGGTAATCGATTAAAAACTACATCAGCTGTCTCATTATTTAGTGAGTGAATGAATGAAAAATAAAATAACAAAAATGAATTTGAAAAATTGTATTATAACATTTGCTATCTTATGTCCCAGTAGAAAATTGCAGATTTATATATTTTTCAAAATGAGTAGAAACTCCATTTTTTTTTTCTTCGATATTTATTTTAGTGATCTGCATTCGCACCTAATTTTTAAGCCCGGTACGTCGCGAATTTTTTTCAAAAAGTTTTGCCGGCACCGCCCAAACTTATTTAAATACAGAAATTAATATTTATAAATTACTCAAAATAAAAGACGTATGTTATATGGCGTTTAGTTTCTATAAATAAAATCAAATATTTTTTATTTTACATTTGAAAAATTCAATATAAAATTGATAAATTTAAATATATTTATAAAAAAAAAATTTCCAAGGCCCTACTACATGACTTAGCCCGAATTTTATTTTTAAAATATTAGGCCCGACCCGGCCCGAACCCGATTTTTAATAAAAAAATAGGCCGGGTACGGGCCAGGCCTTTTGCAGATCTCTAATTTATTTATATATTTCCACGAAAAACGGATATTACTCGTAAATCAAATTGTATTGCCTTGAAATGGTTTTTTTGAAGACATTCATATGCAGCGCCATTTCTATAGTGCGTTTTTTTTATACGCTATTTCGCAATATATTTTTTTTTTCCGAGGAAAATTAATGGCAGTCGCGCTAATTATCGAATAAATTATCGGAAAAATGGTAGATTGACATCAAGATTTAAAAAAAAAATACAAATTAGAGTTCCTTTTATTAATTAATTAGATTCGATTATCGAACTGATTTAGTATTAGTTAGTAGCTCTAAACTAATTATTTAACATCGGCAAAAAGGGTATAACAGAAAGGGGCCGATTTTTCATTGTAAATGAATAAAATAGATGTCATTCACTAAAACAGATAATTGACTACTTATTTTGACAGCCCTACCCCTTAAATTTTAACTCCCCCCCCCCCCTCTCCGTTTAAGATGGCCTCGATGTAAATGTCCACAATTATTATTGTTATTATTTTACTTCTTATCGTTAGGTCATAATCTATACGGGAACGATGTCAAGGATTACCTCCTTAAGTATCAAAAGTATTGGCAAGATGGAACCGAAAAGAAGTTAGTTTTTATTTTTTTTTTTGAACATTATTCCAACCAGAGTTGTTAAAGGATCTAGATCCTGTATCTAGATATAAAAATGTGGTATCTGTATCTAGATAGATTTTTGATTAAATAATCTGTATCTAGATATTATTTTAGACGTTGTATCTGTATCAAGATCCATTTAAAAAGTATCTTTTAACAATTCTGATTCCAACCGATCTTATTTTGGTTTCGTTCTCACTCAACGTGAACCCCCTTTACTGCTCATAATAGGCAAAACATTTTTCTCGATATAATAATATCTATCGATTGCTATACATCAGAGACCTGCAGGCCCAGTTCTAACCTCGGCCCGGGTTCACGGGTCGGCTAATATTTTTAATTTTTTTAAATATACCCGGGTCGGGTCTGAAAAAAAAATACCAGGGGGAGGGTCGTATATTTAAAAACCAAATATTTGAAATAGCCATTATTAGCTAATAAAATCAAAAATAAATATAATATATTTTTTTTTTAAAAATCCAAGCCGGACCTGAAAATTAAAAATTTTTGAAAAAAGAAATCCGGGTCGTGCCGGACAAATGGTACTGTTTCTGCTATATATATCTAGGTCATTGGCCCCCTGAAGAGAAAAGAAGGGAAGAGAAGAGAAGGGAAGGGAAGAGAAGAGAACAGAAGAGAAGAGAAGAGAAGAGAAGAGAAGAGAAGAGAAGAGAAGAAGAAGAAGAGAAGAAGAAGAAGAAGAAGAAGAAGAGAAGAAGAAGAAGAAGAGAAGAAGAGAAGAGGAGAGAAGAGAAGAGAAGAGAAGAGAAGAGAAGAGTTGAATCGAAAGTTAACAAAATCTTCCAATATTTTTTTAAATTTATTCTAAGGTAGATTAGGGAATTTAACATGGGTTAAAATTGAGATCATTCCTTTTCTAAATTCCAAAAATACTTTTTCTCTTTTCTTCTTCTTCTAGTTAATATAATAAATTTACAGAGCTAGAGCAGCCATTTTAAATACAATGGTTGATCTTCCTTTACGCAACATAAGATAATGGGACCCCACGCTAATTTCTAGTGTCCAATGATATGCCGGGAAAAGCGCGAAGCCACATTACAAAATTACACTTTAAAAATTAGGTTATATGTCCATCTGTACTGTATTAAAAAAAATTATGGAAACCTAGATGATAAAGTATCCTTTCGCGCGAAAACGATGAGGGGGGGGGGTGTAGGTGATAGATGGAAACTATGGATCTGACGATCCCTACAAGATCGGAATTTCGATAAAAAAATTTCCAAAAAACCATAATTTTTTGCTTTTAGAATAAGTGAAAATGACATATTCACTTATTACACGTTTTTTTAAAGGGATACTTTTTTTTTATGTTGAATTAATCCCAGAGTACGAATTTGGGATCCTATTTTATTTATATTCCATTTGGAAAAATTAATTAATTAATTAAAATCGATTTTTAAATATTTGAAGATTTCAAAAAAATAGTAAGATTTGTGTTAAACTGGCGATTTTTCGAAAACGGCTTGCCCAAATATTTTAGTCAAAAAATAGTATACACAAGATAGGATTTCGTTAATAAATGTTCAAACCCGGCCCGAACCCGGCGCGAACCCGACCCGGCCCGAAGCATGAGTAAAAATCTACAGGCTAGTGTAAAAAATTTTTTGGCTAATATATTGGGTTTGCCGATTTTAAAAACCGTTTAAATATAACTAAAATATTCGATTATAAATAATATAATATTTTTATAATATATATATATATATATAAATAGCCCAACCTTGGAAACACCCTTCGTGCTGATGGAACGCATAAAACCTCACAGCTGTTACAATTTTCTGATACATCCGGAAAAGAAGAATCTAGAGATTAATCCAACTTTGGTGGTTTGCGAGTTAGGAATTTTCGGCACTGTCTTATGGTTTTTTTTTTAAAAAAAATTCTTTTTCTAAACATTTAATGAAATCTTTTTTTTTTTATCGATTATTAGTTCGGAGAAACGAGGCGTGATACATTCTAAAGTAGGCGGGCTCTTATTGAGATCGAAATCAGCTGCGGATAACGAAACCGGTATAATGGCCGGGTTCGGGGCTTTGGACTCGCCATTTTTTTGTTGAAATGCCGGAAATAAGAAAGTTAGCATGACGAATATTTTACCGCCGCTATTTTTTTTTAAAAATTCCTTTTTTTACTAAATACGAATAACCTTGAGAATTGTTAGTTTCTCTCTCAACCTTACAAAAATATAAATGGCAATCAAATGCCATCCGTGATTCCTATTTTTATCTAATAAAAAAGTTGTGAAAAAAAGATGGTGAGCCTAGGGTGGGAGAATCTCACGAGTTTAGAAAGCAGAGATATCAGGATTTCAGATCTGCAGTATTTGCTGGGGGCTTCTCTTCTCCAATCAGTGTTGTTAAATGGCTCGATTTGAGCCGATTTTTTAAAAACGGCGGCTAACTCGACATTATAGCCAGGAGAATATTTCCTGAGTGTCGAGATTTCGCCAATGGATGTTCAATCCTTTGTGCCATCTATGAGGAAAATCTTTAGGGCTTGCTTTATATTTTTTCTGGATAAAATGTTTAGTTAGGCCGCATTCCTAGTGGATCCGATCCGACACGATTTAACAGCTGATCGATTTTTAAATCTGTTTTATGAGAGATCAATTTTTTTTTGTAAAAATATTAATTTTGTCTTTAATTCTATACATTATTATAAGCTAAGAAATATTGGTTTTTTAATAAAGAAAAATTGATTCTCATAAACCGATTTTAAAAATCGATCAGCTGTTAGTCGGATCGGATCGGATCCACTAGGAATGCGGCCTAATCGGCTTACATTGAGCCGTTTAACAACACTATGAATCGAATATATTTGAAAGAGAGTCAATCACTTATTAATGTGGAGAGAGACGAGGGATTTACTTAATTTCATGTTATATATATATTAGGAAAACGTTTTCTACCAAATATGGGTATCGATTGCCACTGTCAAGCCGTAGTAAAAACCTCGATAAATATAATTTTATTTTATACTGAATTAAGTCTGTGATTACGTTTATATTTTCGTTCAATATTGATTATTGAAATTCATTATTATTTCCAAATGCATGTTATTGGCTCTTATAAATTTAATGACGAATAATTATTGTGTATGAAATTTTATTTTTTTTGTACAAAATTCTATTTTGATCATTCCAATTTTTGTATATTATAAAGTAAATTAATTGTGCCAAATAAAATGAAAATATTTTTGAATAGGTATGTATTTTAAATGTTGCTTCCTCTTACTAGAAAAACAATTTACACTCATAATAATCTATTTAAACCTATAAAATACTAAACTATTTAAGCCTGAATAAACTTGTAGGCAACCATCACTATAACAGATTGATTATTTTCTTTAAAATATTTTTTTTAAGGGTTCAAAATTTTAGAGAATCTTATTTTTATTCATTTGAAAAATAAAGAGTATTAATTAATTCTTAATCTACCAAAATGAAACATAACGGATTCAAATATAATTGGAACTAATTACTCACACTAAATCTACCTCCACCTTCTCTCTTTACCCTTTGACTAATAGAGGTATACCGCCATCCATTCGTTAATTAAACAGTGCCCTAAAATTGCTGTCCAATAGCAGAAGCACTTAATTACCGCAGTATATTCCCCACAATGTTCCCATGTAGATTAGATCCCAAAGTGATTCACGTAGACACCTCGTATATTTAATATAACCCAGTTTTCCCGCCTTTTTTTAAAAATAATTTTGTATAGGCACCTCCTCATCCCAACTTTAACGGATTCATCTGCCAATTTTTGATGTGCCGAAACTTTTCTATTAGAACTAATTCCTTTTTTGTAAAAAAAAAACATGAATACGAAAATTTACAGAATTTTATTTCGATAAAACGATTATAGGATTAATTTGTCGAATGAACGAATATTCAAGGGGAAATCGCCGGATATTTGAGTTTATTTTATTCGAATCGAACAATTCGTATTCATACAACGAATAATTTATCGGTTATTAAATTTTTTAAAAACTTTCAAAAATGTTAAATGTTTAGTTAGATTACGATTTGCCGAAACGAGTCTGGAATAGTTGAAAGTTTTTCTTTCACAATTTTATCCTTTTATATTACAACTTGAAAATCGAAATATGCCTTTTACACTAGAACCATGCTTTCCTAACTTTTCTTTATAATTTCTCAACTAGTGTTGTTAAATGGCCTCGATTTTACATTAGACTCTAAATTTTCGTTAATAGATCTCCAAACCTTTCTCCCATTTTTGAGCATAATCTCCAGACTCGCTAAATTATTTTTTTGGGCTAAGATATTTGGGTAAGCTGTTTAACAACACTATTCCTCACATGTTCTCGATTAGGAATTGTTGTGAACCATTCTAATACCGTTTGTATTTGTTCTCCAAAGTATAACCTTTGTTTTTTTTTATCATAGGCCAGCAATGGAGGCCCATCATCTCAGCATCATATAAACTTAAATAAGAATTTAATGAGATCTACCTTTACGGTCCCCTATGATGGAGCTACATACACGCTAATATTTTTAAACTTCTGTTAGACATTTAATTATGATTCATACAAATTCTTTCGTGCCTTAGAAACGGATAGTTATAAAAATATCCTTACAAACTACCACTAGCTCTTTTTCTCAAACACCCCTACCTACTTTTGAATTAATACTTCAATACAGAGGTTTACTCTGCAAAAGAAACCCTTTATGATTGATCATATTCATTTTCCGAACCCAAATTTGGGCATGTGTTCGCCAGACCGATCAACTATGCATCGCAAAAAAAAAATCGTTCATACTAGGAAAAAGATTAAATTGACTAAATAATCTTTATTATTATGATTGTCTACATTTAAATTATATCATATTTTAAATTTTTAAAAAATATCTTAATAAAAGAAATATCGCTATCCAAAAAAGTACAGAAAATAATGATAAAATTTTACATTGAAATAAATGCAAATGAAATAAAAAAATTTGCACAACAATGAAGAAAATAGTAATACAAATAATTGACTAATTTAGAAGGGTTCTTTAGTTCTTTTCTGAAGCTAGCATGGTTTTGACTATGATGGAGTAGTAATCCTTTGCGGCATTTGTCCCGAAGATAAAATCCCAATGATTCGAATTTTCGAATTTATAATTACCCAACAAGTTTTTAATTTTGGGAATCAACTTGTTCACGTCTTCAGGGTCGGCTAACCAATCTTTAACTCCCCAAAATATCATTGTAGGAACCATCATTTGACTTATATCGTACGATGGTGGTTCAGGCTGTGTTTTTTTTTGATAAAAAAAGAGATTTTTCATTCACACATTGCGATAATAATATTAGATCATTATTATAACTTAATATAAATAATAATGTATTTTAATAAAATTAATAATTTTTGAAACTTTTTTTTAATTCTGGGGTATAAAGGGGTGAGGCCAAGTAAATTCAAATACTTTATTACTTAATTTTTTTCAAAAATATAAAATGTAAACCTCAAAATAGTAAATTTTTCTAGATAGGTTTCTACGCAAAAAAAAAAATATTTAGCCTAGAGGACTATTATTGTTCATTGTCATCTCAATTTCGAGGTTCAACCCGAAAGATAACTTCCGCTTTTTCAAGGTTTAGCTGATTTATTTTTGTCTCTAGCCTTGAAGATGGTGCACATATATTTCGGAGACCTCCTGACCCCGGTCCACCGATCCCGCCGCATTTATAATTTTTTCTTTAAATATACCCGGGTCGGATATTAAAAAAATCCTGACCGGCAATATAAAACCCGGGGGGGGGCGGGTTGAAAAGATTTTCTTTATAAGATAAATCAGAGACCTGCAGGAGTACACGGCCCGGCCCGGATTTTTTTTTTTAAAAAATATGTTACATTTATTTTAAAATTTTTATAGCTGATGATAGCGATAAAATACGGCGCTACCCGTGCGGGTCGGTCCTGCAGGACCGAGAAAAATCCGGGTCGGGGCAAACGGGACCACTCGCAGATAGGTCGTTAGATTTCTGATATATTTTTGAACAATTTTTTCTTCCATTTTCATAATATATATATATTTTTTTTTTTAAAAAAAAAAATAGGAGGAGAGATCGCATTATTTTAACGTAAATTTACCTTTCCGTACTCTTTCAGGTTTTTAAAAAAACCGTAATCGTACATACTAAAATCGCCCTTTAAAATACCCTGGCAAAGATGAGCAATGTTTCTAACCGACGTTCCTGCGGGGTAATGTCCGTAGATGACTGGCACTTTACTCTACATTTTGAAAAATAAATTATCGTTCATTCCTTAATAATCACGTAATTTATTTATAAAAAAATGAAGGAGGGGGCGGGCGGGGAAGCCATTTTCCCTCCATATATCGGTAAAAAGGTAGGCTCCTAAAGAGGACATGGTAGGGGGGGGGGGTAAATATAAGCTAGCTGCCTCTAAAAAAACATATTCACTCCATGACGACGCTGTAGATTATTACCCTTTACGCGTAAAAAATTGCATAGTTTATACATATCAGTTATTATAAATTCTCCTTTAAATGGTTTCTCCTTGTAAGTATCTTTCTTATGTAGCGAGCTATTATATCTATTTAGCATTTCTAAAAATTATATCAGAAATTAGATATGATTTTTAGAAAATTTAAAGAATTATCCTGCCTTTTCAAGTTGTAAATCTGATTTAATTTTCTAACTTTCGGAATTTATAGGACAAGCTTATATAGCTCACTCATAATGGGATATTTTTTTTTGTTTACTGAGAATTCAGATTTAATACTTGAATGACCCCCCTTTCTATTTTATACTTAAAAACTAATAGGCAAATATTTTGCAAGTTGTATAACATCTTCAAAGAAACGTACATATATGCTATTATAAATAGTGATATGATTATATTAGTGAATATTTCGAAATTTGAAAGAATTGGTATATGAAATTTTTTATCTCAAATACTTAAATGAGACCTATAAATTTAAGTTAAAAAAATATTATAGTTTTTTGTTTAAACTTTATTAAAATTTCCCGTCTCTGGACCTCCAATTAAATATAGCATATTGGCGCAGAGCTCTATAGTATGGGGACAGACAGACGCGGCCATCCATTCTAATAAAGCGTTTCTAGGCATATATTCTCTGCTACCTTGAATAACGATATATATTATATAATTTTTTATTGAAGTCTTCCTGCATCATTAATTATTATGAAATTAGTCGGTTCTTATCTTATTCTAATAAAATGTAGAAGAGTTTTGGTATCCAGGTATCCAATAAAAATTTAGAATGGATTTTCTTTGATTTTTTTTGAGTTGGGGGGGGGGGGGGTGTGAGAATCTTTGTATCGATTTAAATCAGAATTTTCTTTTATATGAATGATTTAATTACGAAATTTTAACAAGTAATAAGATATATATATATATATGATACGATGTATTATTTATTCAAAATATACCGAACATGTTGTTTATGAGTTCTAAGGCACGTGACATAAACGCTATCATTCTCATGGGAGATTTGATATCTTTCAAGTAGGCTACGGGCGCCAGCGCGAAAAACATTTTGACCTTCCAAGAAATCTTAGGATTCTGGGAGAAATGTGCGAATGCCACCATGGCTCCCTGGGAATGCCCTACGTAGTACAAGTATTCTCGGCTCGTTTTTTTGAGGATGAAATTGATGAACGCCGGGATATCGTATCTAGCCATTTCATCGAAGCTTCGAGATATGTTATTAGCGGGCAAAATAATTTTTTAAAAAAAATGGCAAGCGTGTACAATAGGTGTGGGAAGAAAATTATTTCTGAAAAACATGGGGCAAATGTGAGCCTACCATGGTTGGAATCGCAAATTATAAATACTTAATTCATATCTCCCAATTTCTTTTATAAATTTTAATCTAAAAAAATTTGGGAAAAAATAAATAATGCTAATATACCTCCAATCCCAAAATTCGTTGTCATCTGACGTAAACGTTTTATGTCTCCTGGAATACGTGTTACCCCTTATGTCGCCCAACCAAACATCGAAACCATTTTCGGCCAAAATATACGCTTTGGGATTGAGTAGAAATAAAATAGTAAAAAGTCGTTATTAAATTTTGGTTCAGTTTTAAAAGCGTAGTTAAGTTTTACGGTTCAAACCCCTCTAACCTGACCCCTGGACATGCACGTAAATACGAAAGTATAATCAAAAGTAATGATTCATTACATAACTATATGAAGTTCATTCAATTATCCCTATTCCCTAACCTAAACTCTGGTTTTCTAAATTGATCAGGAAGTCGCAAGCCGTGCACTGCAAACCGTGCTGCAAGTAAACGGAGGCTATCGCGGCTGTTGAATTGTTCTTTGTTCTGCCGAACGGAATTCTATGTAATTGCAGGATAAATCCATCTTCCGTTTCAACTTCATAATTTTCGTAAGTATAACCTCTGGCTCTTATCATCTCTCCCTACGACAAGCAATTTTTTTTTAAATTTATTAAGAAAAATTAAATTTACTGGAGACATAGTTATCTCTGGGTCTGTTGAAATCCCACCAAAAAATTTTCCTAAATTTGCACCATTGTAGTAACTGTATGGATCCGTTTCCTGACTTTCTAGATAAGCATTCTGCGCAATTTTTATCCCATTTAAAAGATGAATCAACAACAAAATTTGTATAATCATTGGGTTGTATTATTGTTGCAATCAGTCTTATTTTGTCTCTAGTGTTTTCTATAAGTAAATCAGACTTATAATTCAACTTTAAAGAAAATAAAAATTATTTTTCCCCGAAAAAAATGAAATTTAATATAATCATATCACCATTCCTATTATTTAATTTAAAGTTGTTTAAAAAAAATAAAGTTTAACACAATTTTAATTAAAATTTAAAAGTTCATTCTTTTATATTTATATAATAAAATGTAAAAGTTGTTTATAAATATCTTCATAATTTATAATTTTTTTTTAGATTAACATTAAATGAAATCTCACTAAATTTATTTTGTAATATATTTCTTGAATAAATTAATCTTAACAATGGGTTAAGCAATTTTAAAACATTGTTCTTTCTATCCTATTTTTCATGATTATTATGTATTTTTATTTAAACATTCCTTTACGTTTCCCATATGCGTGAATACAACTTTATCATCTATTTGTTTTAATAAGTTACTCACAGAGAGGATTCCAACTAAATTTTATAAAGATATCTGTGCTCCCTAACTGCAATCCACGTTTCCTAGTCTCATTATTAGCCTGGAAAATGAAAACAAATTTTTTTAATACCGTATTAATTTTATAAGTTCATTATAGCTAATGCATTACAACAAAGGCATCATGTTCCATTTATGATTACGAAATTCAATTAAATAAGTTGAAAATAATTTTTTTAATAATCTGGTCAAAAATAAAAGGGTCAATTTTTATGTCTTTTATAAACCTACCACTATTCTATTAAATTCAATTCGATTTTACTATTTAATATTATTTGTATTTTCTGAAATTATTTAGATATTCAAAAATTAAACATTTTTTCATAAATATTAGAAATTATTTTGCTAATATTCAAATTCTCCATGAATATATATATATATAGGAGAAATCAGGGCATATTGATACACTTTAGGAACATCAGTCCACTCCTAGAGGTACCCTGGGTTAAATGACAGGTATTTATTTATTCCTTTCTTTTCTTTAATTCTTTCTTTCTTCCTTTACCTTCCTTCCTTCCTTCCTTCCTTCCTTCCTTCCTTCCTTCCTTCCTTCCTTCCTTCCTTCCTTCCTTCCTTCCTTCCTTCCTTCCTTCCTTCCTTCGGTATAAATAAATAAAAAGGCGGCATATTTTGGAATAAACAAATACCCCCCCCCTGCCCATTCGTGATAGAAGTGTTGCAATCATAATTAGATAGTGAGTTGGCTATAACTTATAAGTTGTTACGGGCACCAGAGTTTTTGGGTATCACTAGGAATAAAGTCAACTAAAAGGGTTTTTATCTCTAGAATGATCATTACAAGCAAAAATATTATAGTTTAGTGGACAGATTCTACAGATAGAAAATCAGGGCCGTAGCCACGGAGCAGGCCCTATAGGGAGAGCACCCTAAATTTTTTGGCCCTCAAACCTGATCCCTCGAAAAAAAATTCTTTCCCTCAATAAATGATCACCACAAGCTTATCCGACCTCAAAATTTGAAAAATTATTAGTTATTAAATTTTAATCCACCAAATAACATTTGGTTCTAAATGAATTATACAAAATTTAATAAAAATATCTATTCACTCATTAGTTGTCCAAAATTTAGACAAAAAAGGGATAAAGCAATTGTGAAAAATGCGTTAGCTGCGAAGAAGGAACTGCTAAAATATGAACCCTCAAAAACTCACTTAAATACAATACCATTATGGCATGATAAAAAATCTTAATATAAATAAGGATAACGGAGATAGCAATTTGGTAAAGCCAACAAATTAACCATTAATCGTTATTCAATATTTGATTAGATGCTATAGCATACAAAAGATACCATTTCTTGGGCCTACAACCAAATTTATATCATGTGCTTAATTTTTTTTTTCTATCTAAGATTAAAATATTAGGCGAATCTGGTAAGAGGAAATTCCATAATATCATCATTTTCCAGGGAAATTACTTTGTCGATATGATATGTACTAAAGTTTATCTTCGATGTCAATCTCTATCGTGGACATTTTAAATTTTAAATTATTTTGAAAACTAAACTTACAATACAGATTTTTAAAATTTAAATTTAAATTTCAAAAAAAAAAATTAAATTAGGTGACTATTATTTTAGATTTATTTATAAATATATTTTAATAATTTCTATGTGTTATTCAAATAAAATTTTATTGTTTATTTCCATAGAATTTGTTTCAATTTATAATAATTTATTAAATATATGGATATTTATTTTTAACCATACCCTTGTATGTATGTATTCTATGTCTTAGTTATACATAATTTTTTTTTTTTTATTTAACATGTATACATTTAAGAATACTACGATACAAATGAAAAATATAAATAATTATATCCTGAATAAATATTGTCATTTTCTTAGATAGAGGAGTTATTAAAATAATTCTTATTGGCTTCTGTATCCAATATAGTTTTAACGATAATAGAATAATAGTCGTTAGCGGCATTGATCCCGTATACAAAATCGTAATGATTTGAATTTTCAAATTTATGATTACCCATCAGGTTGCTAATTTTTGAAATTAACTTGTCAACGTCTTTGGGATTTGTTAGCCAGTCCTTTTGTCCCCAAAAAATCATTGTCGGAGTCGTCATCTGTCTTATATCGTGAGATGGGGGCACTATCTTATTAGATTTTTTTTTGTTGTTTTAAGCGTTTGTTTAATTTTTTTTTTGCGATGAAATGGATCTTTTTTTTTCTCCAAAACTTTAGTTTATATAAAGAAATTATAACTTATAATAATAAAAGATTTTAAATTTTGAAACATTTGACTTAAATTTATTGTATATGTTTGGATAAAACTTTTTAAATATCGACCCTACCCTTACTTCCTTTCTCTTCTTAAACATTAGGGGATTCTTATTCATTTAGATGGAACATATTTTTTTTTCTATAGATATTATATATATAATAGTTGTTTTTTTAATAAGTAAATCGCAACTTTTGACAAAAAAAATTTAACATATCACATTTTTAAGTAATGGTTAATATGGTGGATTTACTCTTCCGTATTTTTTTAGGTTTCCTAGAAATCCTAAACTGTACATGCTAAAATCATCGTTCAAAACTGCCTGACCAAAGTGAACCATGTTTCGCACTGAGGTTCCAGCCGGGTAATGCCCATAGTATACCGGTATTCTGGACTAGGTTTTATTTATGAAAAAATATTTTAAATACCCTCAATTTAACATTGTTTTAAATCGGGGCTAAGCAATTGAGAGATTTTTTTTGATTTTTATCACGAAACGATATAATTTCGGAAAAAATTAGATTAAAAAAATTTTGTTTTTGGATGACAACGCACAAAAATAAACTTTATTTTAAAAAAAATCTACATTTTTTTCTAATATATATATTCAGATCAGATATCAAAAATCTTTAAGGTTATATTAGAAACAGTTTTAATTTTCTTAGGAAAAGATAGTTAGTTAGAGTCAATGTTATATAAGAATATCTAGACTGTAGATGCATTCATTCATGGGGCATTTAGCGTCAATGAATGCAAATCAGCTGGACCCACCATTTTGGGAACCCATGTAGTAATTATTCTCATGTTAAAAACTACTATTAAATTGATAACTTGCTTCCTTATTCTCAATTAGTGTTGTTAAACGACTCATTTTTAGCCGATTTTTTAAAACGGCTAACTCAATATTTAAGCTATAAAAATATTGCCTAAGCCTCGATATTTCGATACTATATGTTTAGACCTTTGTTCCTTCTATAAGTAAAATCTTCAGGCTTGGCAATTCTTTATTGAAATTCGCGTCAGACATTAGGAATAAATTGGCCTCTTGTTTTTAAAATTTTTTTTTAAATAATGATAAGGGCAATCAAAATGGGGTCCCCAGCTGTTTTTCGTTGATGTGTCAGTCTAGGTTTTATTGTTATTATAGTTTGAATGAAATTTAAATTCAAATTATAAAATAATCGAACCAAACACAATAATAATTAATTTATCAAAAAAAAGATTTGGAATTTTTTATATGAATTTTAACCAAAAAAATTATTTTTAAATTTATGTGTAAAAGGGCGTGTTTAGTTATTTCGGAGATATACCATGAAGACCTTTCAACTGAATCTATTTTAAAATGATTTGAATGAGTTCATTATTTTCTGATGAGGTCATTTTTTAAGTTTGGTAAAAAAAAACGTAACAGGGGAATGTTTTCCCTTTTAGAAGTTTCCAAAGTAATGTAGTCATTTTGAGCCAGAAATTTTATTAGAGGTTGCGAATCCTAAGGGTCTGTACTAATATTTAAACTAACTCTTCTTTTAGGAGTTGAAGAACTCAACAGTTTGGTTAATAGTGCTCTATTTAGTTCTGAGCCATTCATGGGCCTTAATTTTTTGACCAAGCCCGGCCCAGGCCCGCAATAAAAAATTATTTTGGCCCAAGCCCAGCCCTGCCCATATTTAATGTTAAAGAAAATTCCCAAACCCGGACCATGTTCATAAGAAGTTTCACAAAAAATTTTCCAAGTCCGACCACAAGCCCATTATACAAAAATTTAATTTTTTTTATTTATTTAATGAAAATTGACATTATTTAAATATATTTTAGGCAATCATTTTTGTTTACAATACTGAAAATTTCTTATTATTATTAGAAGAAAAAAAAGGCAAATTATTTCTTTAAATTAGCAACCGTTTTTTTAAATAATCTAAATTAAAATATAATCATTAAAAAAAACTTCTTAAAAACCCAGACCCGCCCCTGACCCGCTAGAAAATATGATGTTAGGTCCAAACGGGTCGGCCCGGCCCATGAAAGTCGTGAGAGCTAAAAAAAAATAAAATGGAGGATTTGATAAGATAAAAAATAGGAGTTTTAACGAGGATGCGGTTAAAAGGGGGTGACGTTGCATATTTCTAAAATTACTCACTCCTATAAGATATATGCACTTTCCTCCTTGCTTACCCTTGGTTATTGGGGTTGGAGACAAAAATACAAGAGCACAAAAAAAAAATTAATATACACCCCCCCCCCCCTCTGTAAGAAGTTATTATAATAACGAAGGTAAACAAGGAGGAAAGTGCGTGAAATTTTTACCAAAACAAGCTGTCCCCACTCTTAGAAGAACTAAGAGTACCTAACCTTAAAAGGGTGGTTGATAATGCCCCAATACTAAATTTTTTTAATAAACGAGTGGACAAGCTAAACTAAATTTCAAATAATATCATCTGGTAGGATGGTTAAATTTTTTTTAAATTCATGAGCTGGTGGGGGTGGGAGTATTGGGGGGTTTAAAACCTGTTTATTGCAGATATTTGGCATGAATGAAAGATATGGTATTGTATTTTAAATAAAGTTAATGAAAGGGTGAATGCTGATATTTATGTTCCATTTTAGCAGGAAGAATTCCAAGCATCCTATTCTTCCTTTAGTAATTAATTAATTAATAAAAATATTGAAAAAATAATATAAGTTAAGCACCCGCATATAGGTTAATATTCTTTCGGGTAATGATAAATCAATTTCAAAAATAAATTTACTTGATTGAAATTTTTTGTATCTGTACCTCCAATCAAATACAGCAAATTGGCGCACATATTTATTACGATTTTATTTGGACATACAAATTTCGCCAACCACTTTATTATAGAGTTACTGGGGATAAATTCTTTATCACCTTGAATAATCAAATATTCTTTTAGAATAAAAAAAAAGTTCTAGCAAACATTATGTTAAACTATGATATTAACGAGATAGATAATCAACTTATAATGAAATGAATTGATTTTTTTTATTGAATTATAATATCATTATCAAAAGCTAAAAATTTAAAATTTTTTCTAACATAATAGTTATTTTCAACTGTACAGTGTATAAAATATAACTTTAACACAAAGTACCTAACATTACGGTTATAAGATCTCGAGATAATGTCAGAGGTGCCAAATATCTGATGGGGGATGTGATATGTTTTAAGTAAGCCACGGGGGCTAGGGCAAAAAGTATCCTAACTTTGCTAGCCATCTTAGGGTTCTGAGATAAAATCGAGAATGCTACCGTAGTCCCCTGAGAATGTCCCACGTAATATACGTAATCTCTGTTAGCTTTTTTAATGATAAAATTGATGATGGCTGGAATATCGTATTTTGCAATCTCGTCAAAGCTTTAAAAAAAATATTATCAGTATATGTATGTGGATAATTTTTACTGGCAAATTAACATTTATGAGAACCTAAAGAATTTTACCAGGAAGAGATAATCACCCTTCCCCCATTCTCCTAACCTATGAAGATGTCTACTGGAAGCTACTTTTTCCTATTTTTGAATTAAAACTGAATTACTCAGAAGAATATAATTGTCTTTAAACTCGAGAGAATCAAAATCTTTACTTAGCAAAATCCTCTTTGATTTCAAGAAATATATCTGTGAAATTCGATATAAATCCTTAGCTTTAAGTTTTTTAAAAAAAATTCTAAATGGCAATTCTTATTCTGTGCGTGTCTTAGAGACTTGTACAGTTTGATATCAATCTTGGAGAATAAATTTCAGGTCAGATTGGATATTCAACCTTAATCAGAGGTGCGGTGGGAATTTTAAGTCTAAAACCAAATTAATTTCAGTTAAAAGAATCTATTTTTTAAAAAAAACTCGCAATTTAAGGGTCTAGTTAGCTAAATGTTATCATCGGTTGTTCATAGTGCAATACTCGTGTAAATATAAAAACATGAATCCTATCATTATGAATCATACCTCCAATCCCAAAATTTGTTGTCATTGGTTGTGTAAGTTTTATGTTTCCTGGAATATATGTTGCCTCTTATGTCTCCTATCCAAACATCCAAACCATTATCGGCCAAAATGTACCCTGTGATAAAGTACATTTTTTTGAAAAAATATATCATAACTTTAACCAGCTTAAAAACTCAACTTGTTTGACAACTTAACTAGTTCACAAGCTAATTAGTAGTTATCTAGCTAATTTATACAAATTAGCTAGTATATGTTTAACTGGTTTGTAAACTATAGTACTCAAATTTTTAAACTATTTAACAGATGTTTTATTTAGCATACAAAGCAAGCTAGATAGTTAATATATATTTTATATTAGAAATTTTGCTTTCAGATATCTTAATATTTATGTTATTTTTTGTTTAAATACAAAACTAAAATAGCTACAATATTAAAATCATTTTTCGGTTACTTTTAATCTTTTTTACAAACTATTATTTATATATAAATAAATTTAATTTTTTATTAATTCTTCCTCAACTTGTAAGTCTTTATAATCTTAGTATTTTAATAAATTTTTATAGCCCGATATATCTTAATTTTTTATCTTAAATAGTTAATCTATTTTTTAAACTATATAAGTTATTGTAACTCTATTATATATGAAATATGTGAGCGTTAAATTATTTCACCGGCCATAGTTTTTTTTTACAGTTTGAACTTCAAATGAGTTCTGATACGTTTTCCGAAATTATACGAGTATTATCGTATTTTAAGAGTGAGGTTTAGGTTCAATTCCAAATACTGCCTTTGGGTTCAGCGCCTTTTTTTTAATTTTAATCTCCGAAAATTTATTTCAGCATGTGTGTAAAATTTCTAATAGCTACCATACGATTTTGGATAATTTGCCAAAAAACCTTTGAATCACTTAATTATTTTTAAAAATCTTGATAAATCTCTCTAAAATTTAAATGACATTGAGGGGGGGGTTTGTATTCTTAACATCTTAGATATTATTTCCGGTAGTTGTTGTTAAACTACTTGAATTTGACAATTCTATGAATTTTAGCCAAATTAATTTTTCGCCGGCTTCTAAATATTATTAATAGATGTCCTAACTGTCCTAGTATGTTATATTAAAAACGTATATTCCCATTTAATTTTGTTAAACGTCAATCCGATGGATTGTATACATCTGATTGGGGAAAAAAATTATTATTATTATATGTAAAGAAAAATAATAATTAATATAACCTGTATTTTTCGAGAGATATTTTTGATTATGATTATTAAATTTTTGAAATTTAAAAAAGAAAAAAATTATTTTATAAATTGATAAGTTAGTATATTTTGTTGTTAATATATTACGATTCTTTTTGTGTCGATTTTTTGCTGATTTTTATCGATTAATAGAGTGAATAAAATATATTCTTTCTATTTTACATTACTTCCAAACTAACCTTTCTGCCATTCCAGCCATGCTTAATAATTTTTGGCTAAAATATTGGGTTAGTCTAATTTAAAGGAAAATTAAAATTTTCATTAAATTATAATTTCCCATAATTAAACACCCTTAACAATTGATTGGAAGTTGAAAAAAATAGTACACAATGAATGGGAGGACATATGGTATCGTACCGCCTTTACTATTTTTTAGTTATAATTAGGTATTTTGTCGGCAAACTTTTCGCTAAATTTCGCTTAACCTTATAATTTGTATGCTCAAATAATAAGCTTAAAGTTTATATGCTCAAAGCTTAAAGTTTATTTATCTCAATTGGCACAGTATAAAAAAGAAGCTTTACTCTCTTAGGATAAAAAAAGATATAAAGTAAAATATGAATTATTATATAATGTTCTTTAAAGAAGTAACAAACTATTACAATTAGTTTCTAAATGATTTTGTCTAGTTTATCATGTGTATTATTTGGTTAATCAGGCTCACCCTTCCTTTTATGAATGATGAAATTGTTTTACATCTGATATTTATAAAATTGTTTTGCAATTAATATTTATAAAATTGTTTTGCATTTAATATTTATAGAATTGTTTTGTATTTATTATTATTAAAATATTATTTACATTTAATATTGATATTAAAGATTATATTTTCTTCATTTGTGTGATTATTTAATGAAATTATATGTGTATACTGAGTATCAATGTTTGTTATTATATATTATTTTTTACTATGAAAATATGACTTCACATTAATTCATTATTTGATATATAATTATAATATATTATAAGATTTAATATATTTGCAAAAGTCATTATAAGAATTTGTTTTAATTTTAATAAATAATTTAATGTTAAATGGAAAATGGAGTAGAATTTGTAATATTAATATATAAGAGGTATATGACTGAAACTTAAAGCTAAAATATGAGATTATTAGATACCTATTTATCAACATTAGTTTCACATACTTCTCAAAATAAAAAACATCTTAAATAAAAATTACTCAACTTACTGATATAAGATTTTTTATAATGAATAAAATTAATAGAGACTCCTAGATCTACATAAACCCAGCTATTTATGAAACTTATGTAATTGTGGAATGGATAGATTGCAATATTTATAATAAAATCTCTCACTTCAAACTTATAGGGGCCATTTTGACAGCCATTTTAGCTTATTAGCTTTTTTAACATTTTTTAATAGTAGTATTAGCGGCCCATAACCAGGACATATTGTATGTCATGAAATTTTTTTTTTATAATATGACACAAAATTTTTTCAATAAGTTGAGAAGAGATTTGAGTTTTCTTTGGCGGGAGGGGTAGGATGGGGCTTATAACTATTTTTGCGGTTAACGGTTCCACCAGCTAACACCCACTCATGATTATATATAATATTGTTTTTTTTTCATTTAGAATTCAGATTTTGAAATATATTTAATCATCTAAACTACCTAGACTCTGGTTTTCCAAATTCATTAAGAAATCGCACGATGTGCTGAGTAATCCATGTTGTAAGTAAACTGAGGCTTTTACTTCTACCGTATTTTTCAGATTTTTACCGAATGGAATTCTATGTAATTGCAGGAAGAATCCATCTTCCGTAACGATTTCATAATTTTCGTAAGGATAACCCTTGGATGTTATCATCTCTGCCTAATACATTCATTTAATTTTTTTTTTATTTTATAATCGTCCCCATATTTAATTTGTAAGATAATTTAGTTAATGTCAATTTTACTTCACAAAAGTATCATTTCAATCTCGCAAAATTTCTTAGGGCGGAATTTTATATATTTTTATTTTAAAAGAAAATATTTTTATTGTTTGATATTATATTGACAAAAAGTTGAATGATATATTGGGATGCAAATTTTATATCACATCTTATTCGATAAGAGATTTGGTTAAAGAAAACATGACAAACTAATAACTTTTACAAAGTGTCAAACCCATTTTAAGAAGATTATTCTTATTATTTGTTGATGCTTATAAAACTTAGACTGTCATTAGGATCTCTAGAAGAAGTGACCGCCATTATTGCCTTAATATTATTTCAAACTGAATTAATTTTTAGGGTGAATTGCTTCTTTGCAACTTTTATAAGATGATCATTTTGATAAGATCCAATTTTTATCTATAAAAATAAGAAATCTTTGTAAAATTGATCAATTTATAAATTTTTTCACTACAATTCGACTAATCATCAGTTTTTACTTTAATTCGGCCTGTCACAATTTGCAAAGTGAAAAATATAAGTATAAAATGTCATTTCAAAATTTTGTAAGGATCTGATACTTTTTCAAGTTTGAAGTCCTATATGACTATAAATTTTAATTTTAATTGATCCCCTAAAAGATTTATTAACAACTTTAATATAAATATCACACATCTGCCAAGGTCTAATTCTTTGATCCAGAGCTTATCTCATCAACTCCTTCAAAAAAAAACAACCTACCTTTTGTCATTTATTTTTATTCCGTATCCAGATAATCATATTATTTTGTTCAGGAGGATTTACGTATACCATTTGAGTTCCGGGTATAGCTATATAAACTGGTATGTAAATCATAATAATCTTCAATTTTGTCTATGTTATATATTGAAAAGATTTGTTTGTTTAGCAAGTAGAGGGATGTGAAAAAATCATATATAAGTGAAATTCTTGGTCGATATTATTTCTTAATTTTCTAAGGTTTAATATAATAATAGTCGCGATTTTTCATAACCTCAGCCAAATCTATACCATTTTTTTGAAATAATATTTTATAAAAATTTCATGTAATTCCATTTAATAATATATTCCAAAGCAAAAATGGCTGTCGTAACAATGTGTCCGTTTCAGGTGAAATATCTGGTTGAGGCCGTTCTGATATTTTATCAAGGACACTCAAAATATGCTATTCTAGACCCATAAATAGCTATAACAACTTGATGTCGAAGACTTGCAATTTATTTCTTCTTATAGCATAAGAAGTGTCAGAAATATTTATACCTATATTTTTCCATATCATACTTGTTAGTAATAAATTAAATGGAATTTTATTTTGGTTGATAAAATTTTCTCAAATCTAACAGTGTTTATGGTTTTAAAATATACATAAAATTTGTGTGGAATAAAATAACAGGAGGAAGAAATATTAAAATTAATTTTAGCTTTTTTTGTTAAAATTTAAAGGAATATAATATGACCAATTTGAAATAGAATACTTTGCAATCCCAATTCCTAAAAACTTATATATTTTTTAACAAATTTTGTTAAGGGAAGATTTCAGCTCGAGCCTAACCCCCTTCTTCGCTAGCTAAGAGCCTGTTAAAGCCACATTTTAAAATTTCAATAAAAAAAAGAGTATTTAATAAAGTTTCAATACCGAAGTCATAGATATCTCGGAATCTGTAGAAATGTAATTAAAATAACTCTCATTTGTGTCATTGAAGTCGTATGGGATTTCTAACAAAACAAATTTTATCTGATCAAAGATTGAGATCAAAACCAAAATTAATATAAACATATTAGTATTTTTTTTTTATAAAAATAAAATTCAAAGTAATTTTTACCTTTTAAAAAAATATACATTTTTTTTTAAAATATTTTCTGGAAAATAAATATATATACGTAATAGTGTCAATGTCATAATATTTTATTTATAAATTTTTTAGATTTAAAATATTTAAATAAAAAAAATTATAAACATTTTTATTACATATTTTATATATTAAAAAAATTATTAATTTTAGATTTTCTTTACAAAAAATAAAAATAAAAGTTGACAAAATTAATATAAATGTTTTCATTTTGAATATTTATAAAATACATGGGTCAACTCCCATGTTTCTAATAAACATTTAGGATGAAAATTATTTTTTTTGGAATACAAACCTATGTTAGAGTGTTTAGATTCGAAAAAATAACATATGGGTATATATTAAACTCATATCCCACCTTGTCTTTTCTAGTGTGACACCCATGATAAAAATTAGTATATAAATTAAATGATTTAAACCCTTCTATCCTATTTTATTATAGTACATTTTCGTTATGCTGATACAACTTTATTTTTGATAAAACATTTATTAAGACCCCCTTAATGTTTATGACAAGGAAAAAATGCTAACGTTCTACTATGTAGGTATGCGTTTATTTTATCCGTATCAAATAGTTATTCTTTGTTTCTCAGTTTCATTAAGTAATCGCATCGCGATTTTTTATTATTATGTGATACTTGATTTAGAGCCCTTTAGCCCTTAGACGCTGATAGGTTCAACCTACGTTCATCTAACTGGAAATAAATTAATTCAAGTGAAAAATAAAAGAATGAAGAGCCCTATAAGCGTTTGTGGGCAAGTCGAACGTACTTGTACCCACAGCATACCTAAAACTGTTGCTTAAGCATCTATAAGCTAAGAAAAAGAGTTGGACAAAAAACAAAAGCCAATACCTGAGAGTTTAATTGTATTACTTAAAGGGTGGGTGATTTTGACTACTTTGTGTAAGTCTCAATTGATTACTATCGATATTGAGATATTTAATGTATCATATCTATTCAATTTCAATTTATCTATAAGAAGAATCATCTTCTGAAATTGTATCTGATACAAATTTTTTCATTTGCACATGGTATTAAGTCGAGAGAATTTTGGGCTTTCATTTAAAATATCGCAAATGGATCTTATGCAGTTGCTTGGTTTGATGAATTGTTTATCATATCAATATATTCATGAGCTAAATTTCCGGGCTTTCTTAATATTTATTGACTAAAATCTTGGGTTAGCCCTTTTTAATAATCGAGTCGTTTAAAAATATTAAACACATCTTTAATGGTTTTGTGGTACTACAGTGATTTGCTCTTTGTGTATTGTTTTCCTTTATATGTGCAAAGCGATGTGATGGCATCGTATACCAGATTTTAAGAATTGTGGCTAACTGTTTTTTAGTGTTATGTTGAGTGGCGTATGTTCTGACGTTTTCCAGAATATATCAAGTTATTGTTGAGTTAAATATGCATAATCTGGTAAATAGAGATTTCACTTATTTTTCAAAGATTGATAAACTTGAAGAGAGCACTTCTTGTATTTTGTATTTTTATTTTCAGTACCTCTTTACAATTGTTCTTATTATGGACGGTAACCCCAAAGTTCATAATTTAATCTACTATCTTCACTGCGTTGGTAGTAGCCATAAAATTTTATAGTGGTAGCACGTATGGAGAAGGAAGCATAACATTCTCTTAAAATTTATCTACACTCTTACCCTATGGCTCAAGGTTTCTAGGATGTGGAGTAAGTTTTTAGTTTCTTCGATATTCTTGGATATTACTACCATGTCTTCTCAATATTATATTATTTGTTTTCCTATAAGTAGCACATCTTTGGATCCTATATCCATTAGTATCAACAACACAAAGTGCTTTCTTAATGACTTTATTTATTATGTCATTTAAAAATTTAAAAATTATGGGGCAATTTAGGTTTAATCATTTAATAAAATATCATTGTTAAATTTTTTGTGGTTGGTTTGCTAAATATATTTATTATATGATCGAAATTAGGATACAAGTATATAGATATTATAATATAGGAGTAAACAAATTCTCTAAGGTCCATATTCATAATCAAAATAATTAAGTAATCTCGATCTATTACATATTCATTCACTAATAACTAAGACCTCTATATAGGGAAGATTTATAAATAAAATACATAATTAATGGCACTTAATAAGGCACATAAAAAATTAAGAGTCAAATATATTTTGTTTAATTTTTTTTTGAAAACCTATAAGTTATTTCTTCTATACTTTAAGCAAAGATGGGGAACATATATTTTAAGCGTAATGAAATTTATAATTTGTTTACATTTCGACAATTGATACGATTTATCCTCAAGTAGCTTGTCTTTAGGCGAGTATATGCCAGTAGATTTTTTACTGATTTTCACATTTAACATTGCTAAACCATTGGTCCAATATCCTTTTATTTCTTCTTTCTCTTTTATTTCTTCTTTCTCTTTTATTTCTTCTTTCTCTTTTATTTCTTCTTTCTCTTTTATTTCTTCATTCTCTTTTATTTCTTCTTTCTCTTTTATTCCAATATTCTCGTGTATCCACACCGGTTTATTTTTAAGGAGAATATTAGCAGTTGGTACACTCGAGATCTCTTCAATTTCATTTTCATGTATTTTTACAATCTTTTTTTTATTTTTCTTAATTTTTTTTTTCTTCTCATCTTTTATTATTTCTTTTTTTATCTTATTCTTTTTAAAAATAATTTTTCTATTTTCTTGTCATTTTTACTCAGTTCTCTGATTTTTCATTTTTTAACTTTCATTTTACCTTTTTTCATCCTAACACATTTAAAAAGTTATATTAAATGAAATTGATGTAGAAATGAAAAAAAATACTGTATCTAGGTTTCTCTCTATATTTTAGGTATAGCTTAGTTTCCCTAAGTTCAGTTAGAGGAGATTATCGAAATTTGCAGAGGATACAAAAATATGTTTTTAGATTTCGCCTTTATGAAAGGAAAATTTATTTTATCGATGAGAGTGAGTTTTCATTATCAATGTGACGGTAATATGAATAACGCAAATAAGAGGCTATCATACAAGGGATAAAGACAACAAATTATTCAATGCTACTCTCAAAATTGTAAGAACGT